ACACTCCCACCAACAGTGAATAAGGGTTCCAGTCTCTCCACAACCCTCCAGCATTTGTTGCTTGCTGTTCTGTTAAATTTTGCTAGTCTTACTGGGGTGAGATGATACCTCATGGTTGTCTTGATTTGCATCTCTCTCAGAGCTAGGGATTTTGAACATTTCTTCATGTGCTTGTTGGCCATCTGAATGTCTTCCCCGGTGAAGTGTCTGTTCATATCCTGTTCAAAGGCATTTCTTAATCTATCATCCTTAGTCATTGTTCAACTCTCTGGTGCATAGCTAGTATTTGCGATGGCCATGGCTTGAATCAGGTGCACCTTATTCTATAGACTGACATTATTGCTTTTCAGCACTCTAGAGAGGTCCCTGATATCAGATTTTCCTAATACAATTAATCTTTTGATATCAATATTGAAGACTGCAGTCCTTAGCTTTCTGCAGAAATGTCTCAGGTCCTCCTCAGTTTAAGCAAGCAAGATTGTGTCATCTGCACAACCAATTCATTATGAATTGAAGCTCAACACCAAGAAAACAAAGATTCTCAGCACTGATCAATTGGTAGAACCATGCTAGACTGAGAAGAGATTGAGATTTTTAACAATTTCAGCTTGGTTAGATCCACACTCTTGGTACCAGCAGTCAGGAATTAAAAATATGAAGTCTGCTGTTAGGGACCTCTCCAAAGTGCTAAAGAGTAATGATGACAATCTAGAGACTAAGCTGTGCCTGATACAGGCCATGATCTCCACAGTTACTTGCCATGAATGAGAGAGTTAAGCAATGACTAAGAATAACAGAAGAATGATTGATATCTTTGAGTTGTGGTGCTCAAGAATAGTGTTAAATGCACCATGGATCGCAAAGAGTGAAACCAATGTCTACTTGGAGGCAAGAATTCTGAAGCTCTGTTTCACATACTTTGGGCATGTTGCCAAGAGGAGCCAGTCCTTGGAGAAGGACATCATGCTTTGAAGGAGAGGAAGACCCTGGATGAGATGGGTGGACCCAGTGATTGGGGTAATGGAGGTAGGTGTGTTGGAGTCAACAAGCTTGGCTCAGGATAGCTCTGGGTTCAGAACTGTTGTACATAGGGTCACTATGAGTCACAAGTGACTGCATGATAAATAACAAAAACAACCACGATCAAGTACAATACATCCTTTTAAGTGTAATGTATTTTCTACCTTCACTATGAAATCTTTGATTTCCTAAAAATTACACACACACACACACACACACACACACACACACACGTGTGTGTGTGTGATGATGTACTGCAGCAACTTCTAATGATGTGCTGAGGTGTTAAGTTCTGGTAAGTTCTAAGAGTTGCATTGATCAATTAATCAGCTGGCTGGCTGGCTGGCATCTCAATGGTGGTTTCATCTGGATGGTGGCCAGGCAAAGAAGTTTCTGGGGTCTTTTTTTGTTGTATGTTACTGTTCCTTGTCCCCTCTCAAGAATGGGTGGCTCTTGAACCTTAGACTAAGGGTAAGGGTAGAGCCCTGCTAGAAGGAATGGGTTTAAAATCCTGTAGGGCCTGTGGGCCACAGGCCCAAGGGCCAAATTTATTAATTTTAATAGAATATTCTTTTTTTTATTTTAATAATTTGAATGAACATTAACAGGGATTTTGGATTTCCATTCATTCATTGTTGCACTTTTCTCCCTGTCCAGGCCTCTTCCCTGCCCTCCCCCAAGCCCAGTTTGCTCCTCTCTTTGAAAAGTAAAAGAAAAAATTCTTTCTTTGATATACAATCCCCCCGCACCCCTCTCACCGCCCCAAGTACACTCCACTATGCAACCTTACTTGTGGACTCGTGTGATAATCATAATACCCTATCATACACCGCTTTTAAATTATTCTTTCCCTCATCTATTTCAATGCAGTATACATAATTTATCCAGTTTTTCTCAGTCTTACCCCAACCCTCATATCAGTCCCATTTTACAGCAGTGTAGAATATTCTTTAAAAGACACAGCAACCATTTGTCTATTTGCTTTGCTGTACTGAACAACTTGTAGTTGCTGTGATGCTGAACACTATCCCATAGTCATGTCAAATACCATAATGGTTACCCATTATGTACAGTGGTTGGATGAGCTCCCAGACTGATTCATGTTGGGAAGAATTCATGTTGAGAAGCAGGAGTGGCATCCACTTCCTAAACCAGTTGCCTCTGGAAACTCTGAAAACTCTCTCATAAATTTACAGAAAAAATGTTAATCATAGGAAAAAAAGTTCAGGTCTTTTGTGCAAAAAGTTTACTCTGAGTCATATTTAACTCAACAATACTTAACAACTGCTAAATGAGACTAGTTTTATTATATCTCAATAGTGGTTTCTTCTATCAACATAACTAGTTATGTTATATCTTGGAGGAACATTCTTCCACTATGTACATAACTATTTGTCAATGTGCTATATGAGGTAACCTGGGTTTGCTACGATGCTGAACTTTGTGCCATGAGGATATCAAATTACCAAAATGGTTTCCCATTGTCAACATTGTTTGGTAAAGCTCCCAGTTGTAAAACAGGTTGGGAAGCAGAAATGGCATCCACTTCCTAAACTACATGCCTCTGGAAACTCTATGAAATTGGAAAAACAAAGGGATCTGAAAAGCATTAGATAAGGCATTAGGTCTTTTGCTCATATAGTCACTATGAGTAAACCTTTACTTGATGGCAATCAACAACATATATATCCTATGTTTTTTTTTCTAAAAGTATGAAGTGTTAGCATCTGTGTTTGTTGCTTGTATTTAATAATTTGAATTTATATATTTTTAATAGCATAGAAAGTATGGTGGAAAGATACTTCATTCTGGTGTTCCTAGGGGAGGAGGAAGGTAATTCTATTATTCAGAAACTTTGTCATTTTTAATGTGTGAAGCCTTATGCTGATAAAAATATTTGAACTGCTTTAAAAACATGAATATGTCTGAGCTGATAAGAGATGAGAAGGTGAATCAGTGTTGTGTTTTGTTTTTTTCTAAACTTTCTGATTAGTTAGGACTCACTACATTACTTTGATTTTTATTTTTCACTTTTTAAAGATAATGCAATGTAATCATTTTACTTTAAAGATTTGCAAAAATCATATAATAGAAATACTTTTGAAATAATCATAAAGTATTTCTGAAATATCAAAGTACATTATAAATCTGCAGGAGGTAATAATAATGACTGTGCACTATGTAATATTTGCTTGTTAAGTTACAGACAGTCCAATCCATCCTTCTTTGTTCAACAGAAAACAAAATAACAGTTTGTGTTGTCTATGTCTTGAGGCTCCCAGGTAGATGAAACCAATGTCTTTTTTTTTTCCAATTTATTTTTTTATTGAAAGATATACCTCATTCAGCATGTAAATAATCCATAGAGATAGGCATTTATCAAGGATGAGTTTTAGTCATCGACTGTGTTTCTTTTTTTTTTTTTTTTTACCAATTGCACACATTTCTTTACTATGTCATGGAAGAAACCACAATAGAATTCACAGAATTAGTTGGCGGCTATAAGTGTGTGCTTAGGAGGGATGTTGTTAACAAGTGTTAAAAGCTCTGTATTTTAACTAGGGACAATGGAGCCTGAGGATGGCACTATAAGATGAGCTCACCACTGCTTAATCTTTTTCTCACTAACAAACTGTCCGTGAGGCCCTTCCACATCTGGGGGCAAAAGGGCACTTGGGTCTCCGCTCCTTCTTCTGGGTTTTTGGTGGCATTTGGCCCTGTCATGTCGGTTCTCACCCAGCCTGGGCAGCAGGCATTCAGGAGGATCTTGTCACCTTTCCTCTGTGCACTCAGATTCCTGGCTTGGATTTTGTTCATGAGCGCCACCAGCTCCTCCTCTGTGATGGTGTCACTGCGGAACTTCTGCTGCAGCTCCGGGCTGCAGGACTTAAGGGACATGACGCTCATCATGCTAGACACGTTCACCACTCTGCCATGAGGTTTCATTAAAGGCAGCAACTCTGTGCAGATGTTTCGGGTACTAAAAAAGTTTGTTTTCATTGTCACCTCTGCTTGAATAGGAAAGGGTGTAGGATCAGTATTTTTGAAGCCTATGCCCGCGTTGTTGACCAGCACGTCTAAGCCCCCATACTCGCGGCGCAGGAAGTCCGAAACCAATGTCTTATAAATCAAGTCAACTGCACAAGATTTCCAAGGCCAAAGCTGCCACACATTGAACAGTTTCAACCCACGTGCGCCTTTGACCCATTGCCCTAGTGATGGTATGCTCCAAATCTTGACTGTCACAGTGAACCAAGAGGGAGCCCGATTAGTGATGTTTGCACAAAACCTTACAAAAATACACCCATAAATTACACATTGATTGTCACAGAATGTAAGGCCAATAATTAATAAAACTCCTATTCTAGGGTCAAATGCATAGTAAAATCTAAAGAAAGAGTTCATTAATCTCATTAATTCAGAGACTATTTGGGAATTTGTACAATTTAAACTCGTTGTGTACTGTTTCTAGTCAGTGGAAAATGACATTCAGAAATGTTTGTACTAATTAATTACTGTGAGTATAAATTTACTCCTTTTAGATCTTTTGTTTTCAATCTGTAACTGTCCAAGGCACAAACCTGATTTATTTTTAAATATAATTTGCTAGTTAGAATTTTTCCAGTAAATTATACACCCCTTCCTCTTCTCTCCTCCTGTTTCCTTGTTGTTTTAATTTGCATCTCTCTTAGAGTTAGGGATTTTGAACATTTCTTCATGTGCTTGTTAGCCATCTGAATGTCTTCATTGGTGAAATGTCTGTTCATATCCTGTGCCCATTTTTTAAAATTGTATTATTTACCTTTATCTTGCTGTGGTGCTCAAGTATTTTAGAAATTCTGGATATAAGTCCCTTATCTGACATGTCATTACCAAATACTTTTTCTCAGTCTGTGGCTTTCCTTTTTACCCTGTTCGAGAAGTTTTTGGATGTGCATAGGGATTTGATTCTTAGAAGGTGCCATTCATCTATTTTATCTTCTCCTGGTTGTAGGTAGCTCTGCTTCTTTTATTTTCCTTTTCATCAAAGATATGCTGCATTGGGAAAATATTTCATCAAGGACCTCTTCAAAGTGCTAAAGAATGCCATTTTAGAGACTAAGACATGCTGGATCCAAGCTACAATCTTTTCAATCACTCCTATACATCTGAAGTTCAGTGTCTTCCAATGTCTTTGAATTGTGGTGTTTTTCTACTTTTGGTTTTCCCCTTAACTGGTGATATTACTTATCCTGAATCCCAGAATGATATCTCCTAAGTAGGTGCACTTCAACTTCTACTATATTTCAAGAATATACCATGTCCTGCCAAAAGAATAAAGAAATATCATGGGGATTTTTTTCAGTGAAAAAATAATTTTATTTAAAATTAGTGGTTTGGACTTGGTTTAGATGATTCCAATTTTGTTGACAACATCCAAAGTAGGCCTAATCAAAGTGTTGGCCTTGGCCACATCAATGCCCTAGAGCTTCTTTACAACTTGCTTGATTTGGTGCTTGTTGGCCTTGACACCCACAATGAACACATGTGTGTCGTTATCTTCTACCTTCTTCATGGTTGACTCAGTGGTCAGAGGAAATGTGATGACATAGTGGTAAAGCTTGTTTCTCCTGAGGGCACTCTTTTGAGGTATTTAAGCTGCCTTTGAAGTCTCAGTGTCTTAGGCCACAGGAAGGTGGGTATAAATCATTTTTTGGTGCCTGTGGATGCCCTTCAGGACTTTCGTCTTGGCCTTTACTGACTTTGCTTTGACTTCGGTTTTGGAAGGATAGGGGTTACCTTCTTCACTTCCGGTGCCGTCTTCATAGCAAGAACTCTGTCTTGAAGGAAGTGCAACCAGAGTGCTCCTTAGTGGCAAGGATGATGAAACTTCATTCCATAAACTTTGGGTGTGTTGTCAGGAAAAAGGCATTGTGCTGGTAAAGGTAGAAAGTCTGAGAAAGAGAAGAAAACCCTCAATAAGTTGTATAGATACAGTGGCTGTAACAATGGGCTTGAGCTTATCAGAGATAATGGGGATGGTGTAGGAGGGGCAAGATTCAGGACCCTTGTTCACAAGGTCACTATGAGTTATAGTCCATTTATGGCACACAACAACAACAACAACAACTATTTGTAACTGTTGTTACAAACCGTTAATTTGTTTATGGTTCATCTCTCCATCTCACACATGAGTTTTGAGAAAGAATGTGAGAACAGGAATTTCGCTGTCTTGTTCATAACTTGTTAATGGTACTTGGCATACTGCAGGTCTTGTTATTATAGACCGTTGAGTTGGAGCTGACTCATAACTGACCTTCCAGCATGTTTTCAAAGGCAATGGCTCACAAAGAGGAGACCGTGCGTTTTGTCCTTCAGAGCAGCTAGTGAATCTGAATGCTGTGCCTTGCACTGGCAACACAACTCCTTACCACTAAGCCACCACAGCTCCCTAAGTGCTGTTGTTAAATGTTGTTGAGTACAACTCATAACAACCGTATTAGCGACAAATAAATATTAATTAATGAAAAATAAATTTAAAACTCTTGGAGTTATAGTAGAGGTTGAAGAATACTTACTTCAGAGATGTTCTTACATTCAGAATGGCCAATGAAGGGAAAAACAGAAGAAAGTTTTCCACCTGTTGTTTCCAGCTGCTTAAAACTTTTCGTGACCTTTCACCGGTTTTTCTTTTAAGTCTTCCTTTATTGGCACTGTAACGGATGTAAACCTAACTTAATGGTGTCTTTCAAAGTACTATTTTAAGACATAATAAATTTGCATCAGTGATACTATCATTACTCAACATGCTTTTAGAGTTCTTACTTGGGGGAGGCTTTCAGTCTATTGATCAATAACTCCCAACAATCAGTCCTGTTATTTTTATGTTGATATTCGCTATTTCAGTACATATAATTTTTATAAGTGTAAGGTTTAAAAATGCAAATCCATCTCCAAAAGAGAAAGATTGTACAATACTAAAAGTATTATTTAAAAGCATGCAATGTAGAGTTAGAGGATATTTACAATCAAAGATTAAAAATAAAGCATTTGCTTCATTGTGGTATTATAGAAGGAAGTATATATAAGTATATAAGAATATAAGTAATTCTCTAGGAGAATGTATTTGAGTGAGAATGTATCTTTCCAGCTACGTTAATTCTGATGTGTTGCTTTTAAGTCAGTTTCACTGACTATGCAAAGGCATTTGACTGTGTGGATCATAACAAACTGTGGCTGACTCTGAGAAGAATGGGAATCCCAGAACACTTGATCATGCTAATGCGAAACCTATACTTGGACCAGGAGGCAGTCATCAGAACAGAGCAAGGGAACACTGCATGGTTCAAAATTGGGACGGGCGTACGCCAGGGGTGCATCCGATCTCCATACCTTTTCAACCTATATGCAGAACAGATTATCCAGGGGGCTGGGCTCTATGAGGAGAATTGTGGGGTCAATATTGGTGGACGATTTATCAACAATCTGCGTTATGCAGATGACACAACCCTGCTTGCTGAAATTGAGGAGGACCTGAAGCACCTGGCAGAGGGTCAAGGACTGCAGCCTCCAATATGGATTGAGGTTCAATGTCAAGAAGACAAAGATTCTCACCACTGGATCAATTGGCAACATCAGGATGGATGGTGAAGAGATTGAGATTGTACACAGCTTTAGTTTGCTTGGCTCCATAGTCAACACTCTTGGCACCAGTAGCCAGGAAATTAAAAGGCGCATTGCCATGGGAAAGTCTGCTGTTAGGGACCTCTCCAAAGTGCTGAAGAGCAATGGTGTCTCTCTGGAGACTAAGGTGCATTTGATACATGCCATGGTCTTCGCAATCACTTGTTATGCATCAGAGAGTTGGACAATGACCAAAGAGGATAGAAGGAGAATTGATGCCTTTGAGCTGTGGTGCTGGAGAAGAGTATTGAGAATACCATGGATGGCTAGGAAAACAAACAGATTTGTCCTGGAAAGGGTTCAACCGGGTGGTTCCTTGGAGGCAAGGATTCTGAGGCTCCGTCTAACATAATTTGGACATGTTGTGAGGAGAGACTGGTCCTTGGAGAGGGACATCATGCTTGGTAGGGTGGGGGGTCAGCACAGGAGAGGAAGGCCCTCTATGAGGTGGATTGATTCAGTGACTGGGGTAATCAGGATGGGAGTGTCAGAGACAGTGCAATTGGCACAGGACAGAGCAGAGTTTAGGGCTGCTGTACATAGGGTCGCTATGAGTCTCAAGCAACTCTATGGCACATAACAACAACAACAACCTTTACTTTATAATCTCCGTTGAGACCATAATTCCTTTGAATGGACATAGTGTTTTTAACTTAGATCCATCAAGAAACATCCAATGTATTTAATGCATGTAGTCGCAAACGACTCGACGGCACATAACAACAACAACAACAACAACAACAACAACAAAGTTTAAAACATCTTATGCTACATAGTAATACTGTAGTTTTTTTTAAATACATATTTATGTATTTTATGTACTCAATTTCTAGACCCAAACACAGTTTTTTGAGTTTAAATTGAAATTTTAAATAACTTCCTTTCAACAACAGGTGGCGCATTACAGGGCTTTGTGTTGCTTTGGTGTAGTTCTATCTCTGCTATTGATTTAAAAAAAATACAACTATAAAACATTAATATTCATAGAAAATTTTGAGAATTAATATACTGTATCTGTCTCTATCTCTAGCACATTAATGGAAAATAAGTTTAGTTACTAAAAAGAAGTGGCAGCAAATACAATTTTTAAAAAATATTGAAGAAGTAATCTGATGTTTTATGTTTCTGTTAGTTTCAAATTTTTGGATGTTATTAAATAAAAAAATTTCATTCTTTGCTCTTTTTAGTTACAAAAAGTTCACAAATCTACAGAATGATTTTTTAATATTTGCCATTATCTTTACTTTATTTGACACTAATATTTTGATAATTAAAATTCCAGATAAATGATAATATTGTAAATCTTACTAGTTTTTAAATCTGAAATTATTATTAAATAATTTTTCCAAAATTCCAGTTAAGACACACACAAACACGCACAAAGCAATGAAATTATTTAAACCTAAAAGAGCAGCATTAGAAAAAGCAAGTGTAGCATAGTTAACCAGAAACGATTATAAGGATAAGAAACTTACTATTTATGGATAAAACACCTTAAAAAAGAGGACACCTTAAACATATTAAAAAAAAAACCCCAACCATACAGTATGTTTGAGGCAACGATAAGTAATACTTTACACAGGAATTTGTTCTTGTTGTTGGTGTTAGGTACCATTGAGTTGACAATGACTCAGAGTTACTGTATAAACAACACATCTGAACCTTGGGCTGTCCTGTGCCATTCTCACGCTCTCTGATATGTTTGGGGCGGGGGGGGGGAAGCACATATATATTGAGTCTCACAGTAACTATGGAAATTGATGAGGCCTAATATCATTATTAGTCTCAGGTTATTGATAAGAAAGTAGACACAGACAAATTGGGATCAACCAGGCAGAAAGTGGTAAAACTGAGATTCAAAACTCATAACATCTGACCTTACATCTGTTACTTATTTCCCAGTACTGTGCTATCTTCCAAGTTATAAAGTACTGGACTCAGGACAAGGGGTTTTATAGCTATATAACAGATTTGTTTAAATTATAGACCATGATGTAGAATAATGATAACACCAAAACTCAAATTGTCAATATGAGTCCATTTGACTATTAAAGAGCACTTGAAATGTTTGTATAATAACATATTCAAGAGAATTGAAAATCAAAGGAAACTCTATGGAGAACTTCTTAAAATATAAAAACATTTTCAGTAATAAAAAAAAACCCCACCCATATATTTGACAAATTGGGCTTCAGAAGAGAAGGTACAATCAGGTGAGACATTCTTCCCCAGAACCTGCGCTTTCAGGTAGGGTGGAGGGATAGAAGGGACTGAAACTTCCTCAGGGAAAGGTCCCTCTATTTGAGGATCCTTGCCTCTGCTACTTTCGGGCCATCCCAGGTGCCTCACAGAACAAGAGAGTTTGAGACAGAGAGCTACAAGCAGAAGAAAGTTTCTCAGTGGTCTTGGTGAGCTACACAAGGAAGAGAGCTGACATGAAACACCCCACGGATGGAAACTGACCAAGTGGAGCACATGGTCTTGCACCGCTCAGCCACTCCACAGACAAGGGGCGATAGTAAAGATTGGGAGAAGAGACTTTCACACAAGGCTGCAGTGCAGACCAGAGAGAACTTGAAGGACTTTAGAAAAGGCAAATTTTCCCAGAAAGGACTTTCATTAGAGTGAGTGATTCACCCCATAGATTGAACATTGTCAGCTGGCAACTAATCAATAACATCATAAAGATAAGAACTACCAACAACTTACAGAGACAATAAAGACTTGCTGTCAGAGAACTCTCCAGAGTACTGAAAAGCAACAATGTGAGTCTAGAGACTAAGGTGCACATGATCCAGGTCATGTTCTTCACAATTACTTGCTATGCATCAAAGAACCAGGCAATAAATAAGGATTACAGAAGAAGTGATGCCTTTGCTTTGTGGTGCTGGAGAAGAGTCTTGAACATACAATGGACCTTGAAGAAAACAAATAGTTATGTCTTACAGAGGGTGAAACCATGTGTCTCCATGGAGGCTAGGATTTTGAAGCTCTAGCTCACATATTTGGGCATGTTGCCAAGATAAACCAGTCCTCAGAGAGGGCTATTATGCTCAGAAGGGTGGAGATACAGTGTAGGAGAGGAAGACCTCGGATGAGATGGACTGATAGAGTAACAATGGCAATGGGGGTAGGCACATCAGAGTCAGTGAGACTGCCTCAGGATAGAGTACACTTTAGAGCTGTTGTACAAGATTGCTATGATTCACAGGCAATTTAACATAACAGCAACAACATACTCTGATGAACTTGAAAGCTTCAAGGAAATGGACAAATTAAGCAGGTCATAAATAGACTTCCCCCCAAAAAGAATCCTGGACCAGATAGGCTTCACGGCTGAATTCTACCAAACAGTCGGAGAAAATATATCACCAATTCTACATAAATTATTTTTAAAAATATAAAAATAAAGAACACTCCCAGAGACATTCTATGAAGCAAGCATAATCCAAATACTAAACAAAGATATTACCAAAAAAGAAAACTACAGAG